AATGTTTTACCTTAATTTCTTATAAAAGTAAGTTTTGTTTCAGTCTAGCATTCTTTCCTCCATCCAACCTCTCAGAGTTCTATTAACAACAATATGGTACCTGGAAACTTATGATTATATCATCAGTGATCAGTTATTAGGGTAGCAAAAACAAATATCAAGACAAGAGGAATACAGGGTACAGCCCTATGCAGTTAGAAAACAAGTAACCGAGTGACAGAGAAAGGGATACTCTAAGGGTTAGAGACAGGTACAAACTCAGGAGATGCACATTTTTCTAACTGTGATCATCCAAACTGTAACCTGTGATTTTGTGAAGAGTTAGTGCTTAGTCTGTCTAGTTTGGTTTTGAGGGCTGAGAGAATCTAATCGCTGTGGTATTATACACACTAAGCCAGCATCTGGCAGAAGGTAATATTTACTGTGTGTTATCAAATGAGTATATATAGGCATTCCTTGTTCGATGACCGACCTACAGTCCGGTCCTGCAACTAGGTCACTAAATGAACTGGTCACTAAATGAGAAATTGTATTACAATATTCAGAACAAAGAAATGGTCAAAGGAAACATCAACTTGATTTTGCTTTTATTTGTATAACTCTTACATGCAGAGAGATAGTGGGAAGCTGAGGAGGAGAGAGGGAAAATGGCAGGTGAAGACTAGCAGCTCTGTATTACATTCTATGTTTTTGGTCTATTACTTAAAATGTTAGATTTATCAAAATACCTACTAGTTTGGACTGAATCTAGAACTAAGGACTAAACTCCCATTAACTGTATTTTATGTTGGGCAGTACAATTGTAGTTTGGGGACTGGGAAAGGAGAAAAGGGTAAAAGACCACAATGAAGGTGACAGTTTTAGCATCAAAGCTTACCTTGATGGGTTTGGGGAGGTGATCAATAATCAGCTCCCAAGCTTTGTCCCTTATCTGTTTTCAGAACTGGATCCTGAAAGCATGAGGGCTGTTCTTTAACAAGTTACACCAAATAGAACAGACCAAATATCAGGGACCATGTGGGGTACAGAAGAGCTGGGCACCCCTCTGTTTTCTATTGACACCGATTGAGAAAATTTACTCACAGCACCGAAGAAAATATAAGCTTATGCTCAGGAATCATTTCAGTAAAACTGCCTTTGTCTTCCCTTCCCACCTGACTTATGAGGCCTCAGCTTCACAGCCTCCGTAGAGAATGATAAATTATATGGTACAAGAACACACAATACTATCCTAATTGTACAACATCAAGTTCTCCTAGGGGAAGGCTGGCTGATATTAGGAATTGATCCCGTTTATCCTAAATTGTAATACCAATTACACAGTGATTAAGAACAGAGTCGATCTAGAGACCTGGGTACCAGTAACTAGAATATTTGTGGCAGATAAGACTCAGCCAACTAGTGCCTTCCACTGTGTCATGAATTTTTAGCCTTCGACTTTCTCACCAAGCAGGAATGGACCAGAATTGATTCAGTGGGAATTCTTTTATAATTCCTAATTGTTACTTTTTTTTTTTTTTTTTACCAGAGATCGAACTCGGGACCTTGTGCTTGCACGGCAGGCACCGGAACCACTGAGCTAAATCCCCGGCCCTGTTACCTTACATTTTAGTCACTGCCTGAATCTTATGGCAAATTACTCCTGTGAAAAAAGGTGAATTCTTCTTGGCAATGGATATGTTTTCAGTGGAAGACAGTGAGGTAACGCTGCCATTGTGGCAGAATGGCTGTGCAGATCACTAAACTTCCCTAGTTTACTCATTAATAAAATCAGTCTGATAACCTGACATGCATACTGCCAAGTGTTGTAATGATCCAATGAAATGTTCAGGGGAATCCTATGAGCACTAAGTATGTCATTCATAGGAGAAACATTACTAAAGTCTTATGTTGTGTATGTATTAATGCAGCATACTGTTAGTTTATAAATGCACTTTTGTGTGCTAAGTTGAAAAAGCTGACTTTTGGATTTATAATTCCTACAGGGACCAGAACCCCAATGCAGTCCTT